AACTTTAGCATTAACTTTACGATGTTTCTGACAACGGCCCCTGGTTTTTAGCCACCCAATCTTGCTGCAGCGCTGAAAGGCAGTAGTGATACCTCAAAAATTAATTACACAGGTAGATAATTAACAAAATATTATACAATTTGCTAACAACGTTGCTCTTGATAGGGTCATTTAAAGCGTCCATTGCGAGAATTTTCCAGTGTTTTCCCCACTTTCATGATACCTACAGTTATTGCTTGAGTAACAGCAATTGTCTAGAGTAACGATAAAATGTCTTAGAACCTTCGTATTCACCAAATCCAATGAAATCATGCACGATTACAATTTTGCGTTCTGTTTTTGTTTACCGTTGCCATCTCTCGAATTTTCTCGCGGTAGCGCGAGACATCTATCACGGTGCAGCAATGCATACCACGCACCGTAGAAATCAGGTCAGAGTGTAAACACAGACGTTCATACTAGCGTACCAGCAGTGTAGTACTAATGCCACGTAAAGTCTGTTATTAGAGAAGCTTATGGATTGCCAGTCAGATAGTAACACGAGAATGACAATGACATAAAGTGCTCTGAATTATTGACATAAAAACTCAATAATATTTACCAAACAGAATTGCACGCCCTTTTGTTTTATTTATGTTCGCTTGTTTGAGATGCCATTTGTGATTTTTGAGAGTCGTGACACGATAAAATTTATTGCTGGTATGATGTGGTTAAATCAATTTTTCTATGCTATAACTGCATAAAATCTTGGTGTTTTGAATGTTGGTATAATCAGTGATATTTCCACTGTCAGGTGAGACTATATTCAGCTATATTTTGTTTTTTTTCTGAGCCAAAAAACTCGCAATAATCACTTTAACGTGCAAGTATATTGAATCATATTTAAGCCTAAAAATAGATATTATTTAGAAAGAGCATATTTATAAGCTTTTCTCTCTAAAGTTCTCTTCCTCCATCTGGAAAAACTCTTTTCCTAATACGAAACGAGAAGCAAGAATAAACATTCGCCTCTTAGCGAACACACAGACTATTACCTATGATGAGGCATTCGTTGAGGCAGCCGAACACGTGGCCCATGAACAGCAGCTTGCCGAGGCGCACGTCGACGGGTAGGTAGTTGAGCATGCGGCCAAGGAACGTCAGGTCTCCGTCGTACGCGTTGAACTCGTTTCGACTCGTGAGCCGCAGCGCTCCTACCTGCGAGAGAACAAGCGAACGGCTGCGACAAACGTGCGTCATAATGACTGGGCTTTATCCGGGGATTGTTTTTTCGTTAAAAAACTTTTTTTGACCTTTTTACTTTGTTTGAAATTCGAAAGTTTGGGCAGTTTTTTTTTCGTTTTCTTTTTCCTATGTGTTTCCTAATGTTTTATATATATATTGAGCTGCGTGCATCACATGTAGGATGCTCCGTTTTTTAGCAGCATAAAAAAGCTCACGTACACACATGCGCACGCATTCACACATGCATGTATCCACAGACACCATCGCATTAGTTTGAATGTATATGATTATAAGATGACGCTCCTTCTTGAACAGACAGGAGACTGCGAGACCAAGTTCTGGGGAGATTTTTATCTTTTGTCGGTAATGTTTTGTCTTGATTGAAAAATAATATGCAAATTACAAGTCAGCTTACCTCCTTTAATAGAAGAATAGTGCGCTCTATGTTACTCAGGTTGGGAGGCTGCAGTGCAAGGCCCAAGATCGCCTTTGGCTCACCAAGGTCAAGTTCTTTGACCTTCAATGCCAGCTTCTCCAAAGGGCATCGCTGGCAGCAAATAGAGATTGTGGTTATTATATAGGAAACGTCAGAAAAAATAGTTGACACCATATCAGCAATTAATTTCAGCTCATACGACTTATAACATACGTATATTATATTATTCTCAGGTATTTCTAACTACAATAAAACTTGTGTTAGTGGAAACCTCAATAGAACGAACACCTGTCAGTATAACAAATGAGACACTATGGGCACTTCCCCAAGTAGCAGATATGCCGCTACACAACCTCTACAGAATGGACACCCTTCTATAAAGGACACATCGGCGGTTGCGTCGAGTAGCAGTTATAAAGGGAAAAATGACCTGCACATAACAGACACACCCTCTATAAAGGACACAGCTGGCGTTTCCATAGAGCGGCCTTCGCATGCATGACCATGTTTTACCACGTCGCTATGTTGTCTTGCCCCCACTCCGCTCGCCGCGCCGCGCCTTCTCCCTCTCTTCACCTCGCCGTCACCCCGCCCCTTCCTGCTTCGCATTTCCCCTCCTTGCCTCACCTCACCCCGCCCTGCCCTTACTCGATTCACATTGCCCCTTCTCGCCTCGCCTCCCCCCGCTCCTTCTCGCCTAGCCTCGCCTCACTTCGCCTCGTCCCTCCTCGCCGCGCGTCTCGGCGTACCTGCATCTCCGGCGTGCCGTACTCCGGCAGGCAGCTCTCGTAGAATTTCCTCGTGACCATGCGGTAGACGCGGCCGCTCGACACGCGGCCGGCTCGGCCCTTCCGCTGCACGCAGTTCGCCTTCGACGCCCACTCCAGCTGCAGGCTCGTGTAGTTGGTCTCCGTGTCGCACACGAGGCTCTTCGTCAGACAGAAGTCGATGACTGCGGACGGGAAAAGCCACAGCTACTACTGCTGCTGCTGTTGTTGTTGCTGCTGCTACTGCTGCTGCTGCTGCTGTTGCTGCTGCTGCTGTTGTTGTTGCTGCTGTTGCTGCTGCTGCTGCTGCTGCTGCTACTACTACTGCTGCTGCTGTTGTTGTTGCTGCTGCTACTGTTGTTGCTACAGCTACTGCTGCTGCTGCTGCTGCTGCTGCTGTTACTACTCCTACTGCTGCTGCTGCTGTTACTACTCCTACCGCTTTTGCTGCTGCTACTACTGCTGCTACTGCTACTACTGCTGCTGTTGCTGCTACTGCTGCTACTACTGTTGCTACCACTACCATGACTGCCACGACTACGTCCGTCGATTACGGGGCGATCGTCCGTGAGTGTGACGCGCAGCCTCAACACTGGCAGGAACGTGTGTGCAGTCACACACTTGTGCCCGCACACATGCAAGCATAAACTCACACACTTGCACGCACACGCATGCCCGCATACACACAAGCATAAACGCGCATGCTTGCATGCACACACGTGCCCGCACACATGCAAGCATAAACTCACACACTTGCACGCACACGCATGCCCGCATACACACAAGCATAAACGCGC